CACTCGTAGGCTATCGAATTTCATTTGGGGTAAAATTTTGGAATTAGTTTACAAATGAGAACTTAAGTGGAAGGTCGAACATGTTGTCAAAAGACCAGATTAGCCTTTCTCCATTTCAAATTAACCATGCAGCCATGGAACCTCCTAGAACAAGCTTTAAATCCAAACATGTCCAGCCTGCCGGTGCCATGGCTGCATTTCTGGACTGCCGAGAGGAGAGAAATATTTCCGCTGCTGGTCGCGTGTGTTGAGCTCCAAGCTGAGATAATTTCTGGACTTAGACTAGTTGTCTATAGGTTGATGAAGTTATTTAGGGGCATGCATGTGAGGGTGGTGCGGTTGGATGATAAATTAAATCTCAAGAAATCTGATGGTGAAGGAATTGGAGATGCCGAGTGTGTAAGCTGGAAATTTGCAGCTTTAGTTGGCCAATTTGTGATAATCTGAGTTTAAATGTGTATTTAGCTAACCAAAAACTGGATGATTAAGTTTCGCATGAGGTTAATCAGCCTTGATTAAGCAAAAAAATTGAAAGAATATAAAATCTGCTTGCGTGCAAGCTAACCGAGAAGGATCGAATGAATTTCTGGTTGGATGGTAACTTTTGATGTTGTCCGCACTTGGTTTGGATCAAAACTGATAGATAGCTGATTATTTTGATCATGCATGTAGCCGAAATGGGTCGTGGAAAAAAAAAAGAGAGAGGAAAATCTGTATTTCAAGAACTTGGAAGTTGTTAAAAATTTTCCAGCTTGGCCGAGAGAATGGGGTTGAGCACTTGATCAGTTTTCCTTCGAATTTTGGCTAAAATTTTCATACTGGATGTTTAAAGATCAGCTTGTAGTTTGCTAATCACCTTTTGCATGTGAGTTGAAGTAAAATTGAAGAAAATTATGGACAAAGTTCTATAAGTTAAGTTGTTATATTGCTGGAACTGTTTATGGTGGCTGGCCGAATTAGTTGAGGCTTTTGGTGAGATTATTTTCTGGAATTGTGTGTTATCTGTTTTGGATTTGGTTGGACAGATTATGAGCTATGTGTTTAGTGTTTCAAGCAAGTAAAAGATGGAGCTTTGATGGATGTCTTGAATTGTCACTGCTAGAATTTTTCTTGGTTGTCGAAACAAGAAAAGAAAATCTGAATTTCTAGAGTTATTTGTGTGTAAGCTAGCCATGACCTATGTTTTATGTTTTGAGTTAAATTTCTGGTTGATTGTTGTAAGGAATGATTGTTTGTCGTCAAGAGCTAATGATTGATGAAGCTCTTGGCCATTTGAGTAATTTTTACAAGAGTTAAATTCTTGATGGAATTGTTTAAGTGGTTTGGCCGAAATGTACTTGGAAGGTCCATGAAGTGTAGTTTGGAATCGTTTGATATCTTGGACTTCCTTTGTTTAATTCTGATTGGATTTGAACCTGTTGAGATCTAGGGCTAATGATTGATGAAGCCCTAGTGAAATTGATGTCTGAATTGTGATTGTGCTACATTGGCAACTTGGAATATAATGTATAAGTAACTTGGAGTCGTGAAATCCGTTTTGGTCCTTTGAATTCGAGTATTTTTTATTAAACCTTATTGAAGTATTTTGTCCTAGTATCGAGCTATAGAAATTGAGTATAGTACGATAATACTCAAGTTCGAGTGTCGAGATTTTTTTTAAAAACCTTGCTAACTAGTTAATTCTTTTCTTTGCTTAAACTAGCTTTATTACTTTTAAGAAATAATTGCACTAACTTCCAAATTCTAAATTTTTCGTAAAATTATCCCTGGCTAGTTGTTTTAGAGGGAATTGTTAAAAACACTAGATTTTAATAATTTTAATTGAAAGGCATAGAAAACTTGTTCGGCAAGAAAACTTGGTTGAATTAAATTGGTTTTAGTTTCCCTCTACAAAGAAAGGTATCTTTAAAAAAAACCATATGAAATATTCTATAACTTTTATTAGTTTTAATTCTTAGAGAATTATTGATTTATTCTGAGAAAATAAACTAGTTATAAACCAGATCATCTTTTATATATATAAACCAAGGGTTTATATAGTAAAACTTATAGTTTTTTAAAACTTGGTTTTCTAGGGTTTAACGAGGACGTGGACTTCGATTCCCAGCTTGACTTTTGAGCTTCACTTTTGGCGAGTGTCCGTGCTTGTTCTATGACTAATGTGTTAAAGTGCTTTCTTGACTTGTTATGTGATAATTGGACAGTGAATTTCCTGATCCATCGAAGTGGGAAGTGTGTACTTTATCGCACTAGCCCTTTCGAGTGATGAATTATTTGATATGTTTTCTCGAATATCTTGCTCGCACTAGTTAAGTACTGAGTGGGGGAATGTACCACACCTGAGGGTGGGAGGGTCTCTTATCCTAACTCAAGTACCAAAATCTTGCAATTGTTGACTGGAGCGTGGACTCGTCAACTAATCCACCAGGCAGGGGAATGTACCACACCTTAGGGTGGGAGGGCCTCTTATCCTGACCTGGTAACCACTTGTGTGACGTCGTTGGGTGAATCCCTTGACTAGGCTATATAAGGTATACTCAAGTACTACCAAACTCTCTCGTGAGAAGAACGAGCCCAGTGGGAGTAAATTGGTTGGAGCGTGTTAAGATAAAAAAAAAATCTACATGGACTTTAGATAGTGAAAGTTGACGGAGGGTCAACTGCAGTTAATTTTGATCAAGTGCGTGGAAAATGACTCCTGAGAGCCCTGTATCCAACTTTGTGCTGTTATTCGCTTTCCTACTTGTTGAATTTAGTTTGAAATTACTGTTTGCTACTTGTTTATATGATTGCATGCTTGGGGCACCACTGAGCTTTAACTCACCCCACGTTATTTGTTTTCCTGAACAGGTTTTGGCATCCGAGAGACTTGAAGTCTACCTTTAGCTTTTGTAAATGTTGTTTTGAATCGGACTATGTATCTTTTGTTTTGGGTTGCCACTTGAAGCTGGAAAAGTGAAAACCCTAAACCTTGGCTTGTATGAACGAATTTGTATTTGCTGATTTCACTTTGTAGTTTGTAATGTATATTTGTAGTTATGTGTTGAACTGGTTGGAGATGTGTTTAAGAGTGAATGTCCAGATGTCCAATGGCAATGTTATCTCTAAAGTTAATGTGTTCCTAGTATTTTGGTCATTCAAAGGTTTGGATTGTTCGGGTGACGAGTTCTGTTTAGGTTTAAGTTATACGAGGAAAGGGTTTAGTCGATTTTTTCTTGCGTGAGTCCTGGCGAGAGCTAGGCAGGCGATCCGCCAACCCTCTGGTTCACCTTAGGGAGAAGTGGGGCAGCCACAGGTGGTATCAGAGCCTAGGTTAAAAAATTATTTGAAAGATTTATTAGTGGTGTTAGAAACCTTGAGCCTTTTTAGAGTTAAGAAGCGAGATAATTAGACACATTCTAAGTAGTATTTGAGTAAGTTAGCTATTTAAGCATTAACTGTTGGATTTTTGGTTATTTTGCAGGTATGGAAAACGGAAACGGACATGCTTATGGTAACAGAGTGGCTGATGGACATGTAGAGCCTCTTAGGTCCATCTCCTATAGACCACGAGGCGGAGGACCTCGTATACGTTATACACCAGCTGATAGGTACCCCCGATGCCAGTGTAGGGTCACATATGCCTACCCTAACGAGTTAGTGCTGTCCTTAGACGACGAGCGTCGCTAGCTGAAGGACGCTAATTACACTTTGACCCAGGACGTCGAGGAGTTGAGCATCATGGTTGATACTCAGCTTGACCACATAGCTGAGTTTGAGCAGAGGTTAGCAGCCGAAAGGGCTAGGTCAGAGGTTGCTCGTGAGGAGTTAGAGAGACAGAGGTCTCGATTGACTCGAGTAGCTGAGGAGGTACGAGATAGGAGTGCGGGTATTAGGGCTGACGCCACTATGATGATAGATGAGGTCATGGGTATCATTCAGGGTACTGCTCAGGCGGGTGTTGAGGTGGATCCGGATGAGAACCCGGAGGAGGATCCTGAGGAGGACGTCGCTCCTAGCAGCCTTGCTGAGGGTTAGACTAGGTTTGCTTTGCCTGTAAATAGGTATCCAGGGTTAGTTAGGGTGACACTAGTTTAGGTCATAGCATTTTGTCTAGCTAGATGGCCTACTTTTGAGGCACTATATCCCTATTTTTGGTTTAAGGGATTGTTTATATATATTTGTTAAACTTGTGTGCCATGCTTTTGGAAGGTACCCTAAGCTACTGCTTGTATGAATTTTGGTATGTGAATATATGTGTTAAGTGTTTTATTTTTCTTTTTCTTAATGTTCATGTTGATTTTGTTTAAAAAAAATATATATATATAAGAATAATAATAATAAGTAAATAAATAACAATATCTTCACTTAATTGCTTTATTCATATCAATAGGCATAACTAGGCTATGAATCGACGAGTTAGAGGGAGAGAACGTGGGAGATCAATTAGACAACACCCCGAGGTTGGTGGTGATAGGGAACCTGAGGTCAATCAAGACCATAGTCAGGAGAGCGTGGCCGGAGACCCAGTGGCCACCGCGATCAATAGGATAACTGATGTCTTAGAGCGCATGACTGAGCACCAAACCTATGGAGCGGTGCATCACCAAGGAGACCCAATCGATACTGAGGATCGGGCATTAGAGAGATTCTTGAAGTTTGGACCTCCTAAGTTTTATGGAGGCCCAGAACCTGAGGTAACAGGAGGTTGGTGGGAGAGGATCTCTGACATTTTTGCAGCTCTAAATTATACGGAGGAGAGACAAGTGACTTTTGCAGCATTCCAGTTTGAGGGAGCTGCTCGTTCCTGGTGGAACCTAATTAGGGTTAATTGGGACAGGAATCATATTCCTAGAACCTGGGCGAACTTCACACGGGAGTTCAACGCCAAGTTTCTACCCCCTCTCATCCAAGAGAAAAGAGAGGATGATTTCATCAAGTGTAGGTAGGGGGCGGTGAGTGTTGCCGAATATGAGATTCAATTCACAAAATTGTCCCGTTTTGCTCCTGAATTGGTAGCCATGGAGCAAAAGCGTATAAGGAGGTTTGTGCAGGGACTAAATGTGGAAATCCAGGAGGGATTAGCTGCTATTCGGATAGACACTTTTGCTGATGCCGTAAAGAGAGCTCAGAGGGTTGAAGTTGCCAGAGCTCAAGTAAAATCCTTCCAGGCTAAGAAAAGATTTGCACCTAGCAGTAGTCGGGAGCCGACTTATGCAAATACTCCACCGGCCAAAGTGGGTCGAGGAACGGGTAGAGTAAATAGTCCTGGAGCACCACGAGGCGCTCTAGCCAGAGGAGATAGGGCAAGAGGTGCCGGGAGAAGAGATATCAGAGTTAGAGGAGGATTAAGTGGAAGGAGTCAAACTAGGAACGCCCCGCAAGGAGATCGTGTGACCACCCCTCAGGTAACTTGTGGGTATTGCAGGAAGGCTGGCCATGCTGAGACGGATGCTGGAGAAAAGAAGAAAAGTGCTTGAAGTGCGGAAGTAGTGAGCACCAGATTGCCGGTTGTCGAAAAATACAAGAAGGTGGTACCCCAAGTGCTAGACAAGCCACTACTGGAGGAAATAGGCCGAAAGTTCCTACCAGGGTGTACGCTATAGATGATCAACCTGTACCTGATTCCTCGGAGGTCGTGGAAGGTACTCTTCCAATCTTTCATCGATTAGATAGAGTACTAATTGATCCTGGCGCAACTCATTCATTTGTGAATCCAATTTTTATGTCCGAAATTGATGTAAAACCTTTTAGATTACCCTTTGATCTTGAAGTTAGAACACCCATGGGTAATAAAAGCATAGTCACTAGCCTGGCCTATAAGAATTGCGAATTCTGGGTTGGAGAGCGTAAGATGCTAGTAGATCTAGTCAGCTTGGACATAAAAGGTTATGATGTTATCATATGAATGGATTTCCTATCTCATTACCATGCTAAACTTGATTGTAGAGCAAAAGTGGTAGAATTTTGGATTCCCGGGGAAGCAACCCTGAAACTGGATGTGAAAGGTAGGTTAGCATCGTCTGCTATGATTTCGGGAGTTCGGGCAAGGAAAATATTGTATAGAGGAGCGCAAGGTTTCTTAGCTTTCCTGATTAACACTCCCAGTGATCAAGTAAAGTTGGAAGATGTACCAGTGGTAAGGGAATTTCCAGATGTGTTTCCCGAAAAATTAAAAACATTACCTCCAGAGAGAGAAGTGGAGTTCAAGATTGAACTGGTGCCGGGAACGGCTCCAATTTCTAAGACTCCGTACCGAATGGCTCCTGCAGAGCTAAAAGAATTGAAAATTCAATTACAGGATTTATTGGAGAGATGTTTTGTTAGAGAAAGTGATTCGCCATGGGGAGCACCTGTTCTATTTGTTAAGAAAAAGAATGAAAGTTTGAGGTTATGTATTGATTATCGAGGATTAAATGAGTGTACAATTAAAAACAAGTATCCTCTACCATTGATTGACAGCTTATTTGACCAACTGCAAGGATCAGTAGTTTTCTCCAAGCTAGATTTGAGGCAAGGGTATTATCAATTGAAAATTATGAAGGAAGACATACCTAAAACTGCTTTTAATACAAGATATGGACATTTTGAATTTGCAGTCATGCCATTTGGATTAACCAATGCACCAGCTACCTTCATGGGCTTAATGCAGAGAGTCTTTAAAAAGTACTTGGATCAGTTTGTAGTAGTTTTTATTGATGATATTTTAGTATATTCTAAAACTCGAGAAGAACATGTTAAACACTTGGAGGCAGTTCTACAGATCTTAAGAGAGCATAAATGGTATGCTAAATTTAGCAAGTGTGAGTTTTGGCTGGATGAAATTTCTTTTCTGGGGCACAAAGTTTCTAAAGATGGAATTGCCGTGGATCCGGCAAAAGTTGAGGTGGTCACAATGTAGAAATAGCCAGAAACTCCAACAGAGATTAGAAGTTTGTTGGGTCTAGCAGGTTATTACAGGCGATTCATCAAGGACTTTTCAAAAATTGCTGGACCTATGTCAGAGCTGACAAAGGAAAAAAATAAGTTCATTTGGACTCCAAAGTGCGAGTCAAGCTCTCAAGAGTTAAAGAAGCGCTTAACATCAGCTCCTGTTTTGGCGTTGCCTGACGGAGTAGAAGGTTATGTCGTATATTCTGATGCCTCTAAGGAAGGTCTAGGATGCGTACTAATGCAAAAGGGTAAGGTAGTTGCTTATGCCTCTAGAAAATTGAAGTCTCACGAACAAAATTACTCAACGCATGACCTAGAACTGGCCGCAGTGGTCTTTGCCTTAAAGAAATGGAGACATTACTTGTACGGTGTGATCTTTGAAGTTTATACGGACCACAAGAGTCTTAAGTACTTGTTCTCCCAAAAGGAATTGAATTTGAGACAAAGGCGATGGGTAGAATTTTTGGAGGATTATGATTGTTCAATAAACTACCACCCAAGAAAAGCCAATATGGTGGCAGATGCTTTAAGTAGAAAGGCCCAAGTAGCAGGGTTAATGGTAAAAGAATGGGACATGTTAGAAGAGGTTGGTATTTGGAACCCTCGCTTGGAAAGATTGAAGATTTTATTTGGGAACCTGTCGTTGAAATCACCATTATTGGAGTGTATTAAGGAAGCACAGAAAATGGACCCTATGATCCAGAAAAAGTTGGAGAAAGTGCAAAACGGAGAAACTTTAGACTTTAAATTAGGGTCCGAAGGAGTGTTAAGATTTCGAGATTGAATTGTGGTTCTAGTTGATGAAGAATTAAGGAAAGAAATTCTAGAAGAATCACATCGGTCGAGGTATACTATACACCCAGGAGTGAACAAAATGTATCACGATGTGAAAGAGTTATACTGGTGGGACGGTTTGAAAAAAGACGTGGCAAATTTTGTACAAAAATGTTTGATATGCCAACAAGTAAAAGCTGAACATCAGAAACCCTCTGGTCTATTGTAGCCACTAGAAATCCTTGAGTGGAAATGGGAACACATAACCATGGATTTTGTAACGGGATTGCCTCGAAGTCAGAAAGGATTTGATGCGGTTTGGGTGATAGTTCACAGGCTTACCAAGTCCGCACATTTTCTACCTGTGAGTGCGAGCTTTTTTTTGGAAAAATTGGCCAAGTTGTACATAGAAGAGATCATGCGATTGCATGGTATTCCTATAAGCATTGTGTCTGACCGAGATCCAAGGTTTGTTTCACGCTTCTGGCAGAAATTTCAAGAGACATTGGGGACCAAGTTGAAGTTTAGTACCGCTTATCATCCTCAAACGGACGGGCAGTTAGAAAGGGACAATTCAGACTTTGGAGGATATGCTGAGGTCGTGTATATTGGAGTTCGGAGATAAATGGAGTCAGTATATGACCTTAGTAGAATTTGCCTATAATAACAACTATCACACCTCAATTCAAATGGCACCTTATAAGGCATTGTATGGGAGAAGGTGTCGATCTCCGATTTATTGGGATGGAGTAGGAGAGAAGAAAATTTTAGATCCGACGGTTATACCTTGGATGGAAGAAGCTCATAAGAAAGTAAAAGTAATTAGAGAAAGGCTTCAAATTGCCCAGAGTCGACAAAAGAGCTACGCCGACACAAAAAGAAAAGATTTGGAGTTCGAAATAGGAGAAAAAGTTGTCCTAAGAGTTAAACCCGTGAAGGGCGGAGTAGTGTTCAAAAATGGTAAAAAGCTAAGGCCGAGGTATATTGGACCTTTTGAAATTTTGAAACGAATAGGTAAGGTGGCGTATCAACTATAGTTGCCTCCGAGCATGGCCAAGATTCACAATGTATTTCATGTTTCTACGCTCAACAAATATCACCCCGACCCAAGCCATGTGTTGCAATTGGAAGGAATTGAAGTGGATGAGTCATTAACTTATGAGGAAGGACCAGTTAGGATTTTGGAAAGAGAAGTAAAAGAATTGAGAAGTAAAAAAATTCCTTTGGTGAAGATTTTATGGAAAAATCATGGAATAGAGGAAGCAACTTGGGAACTGGAAGAAGATATGCAGAGGAAATATCCCGAATTATTTCATTAGAAGGTGAGAATTTTGAGGACAAAATTCATTTAAGGGGGGGAGGATGTGAGATCCTTAAAAAATATATATATATATATATATACATGTTGTATTTGCATTTTAGATTCTTACTAACTTTTATTATTGTTGGTTCTTAAATAAGTATGTAAAAATAGTTTTAAAGGTACAAATCATTTAATTGTGCAAAATACTAAACTATTTGAATTTTTGCTAGGTTAAATTAATATTTCTTGACGTAGAGTGTTTTATTGCTTTAATATTAATTCTTTGAATTCCGATAGATAGTTTTAAGTGTTAATAACGTTAAGTGTTAACGGGAACCTAGAATTAAGACGAAAACGATTTGGGTCAAATCCCTTATAACTGCACTTAGGACGTTAAATCTCGATAATTGAATTTTTTCCGCGAGATTAGTACCCTCATAGGCTATCGAATTTCATTTGGGGTAAAATTTTGGAATTAGTTTACGAATGAGAACTTAAGTGGAAGGTCGAACAAGTTGTCAAAAGACCAGATTAGCCTTTCTCCATTTCAAATTAACCATGCAGCCATGGAACCTCCTAGAACAAGCTTTAAATCCAAACATGTCCAGCCTGCCGGTTCCATTTTCCTACTCCACCATTCCACCATTCATAATGTCAGCTCACACTCCACTACCACACTCTCCTATATCATTTCCAATCCACCACAACATCAGCCTTCCATTTCCTTTTTCTGCCGCAAGCCGAGAGTGAAGTGAGAAAGAGAGAGAGACGAGCTTTTCATTCTTTTCCTTTCTGTCCGTAAGCTAGGAAGAGAAAAGAGAGACTTGCTGTTCTCATTCCTTCCATCCGTGAGCTGGTGAAGAGACCGAGAGCCAAACTTCTCCTATTCTAGTCGCAAGCTTGAGCAAGGGAGAGGGAGAGCTAGCGGGCTGCATTTCTGGACTGCCGAGAGGAGAGAAATATTTCCGCTGCTGGTCGCGTGTGTTGAGCTCCAAGCTGAGGTAATTTCTGGACTTAGACTAGTTGTCTATAGGTTGATGAAGTTATTTAGGGGCATGCATGTGAGGGTGGTGCGGTTGGATGATAAATTAAGTCTCAAGAAATCTGATGGTGAAGGAATTGGAGATGCCGAGTGTGTAAGCTGGAAATTTACAGCTTTAGTTGGCCAATTTGTGATAATCTGAGTTTAAATGTGTATTTAGCTAACCAAAAACTGGATAATTAAGCTTTGCATGAGGTTAATCAGTCTTGATTAAGCAAGAAAATTGAAAGAATACAAAATCTGCTTGCGTGCAAGCTAACCGAGAAGGATCGAATGAATTTCTGGTTGGATGGTAACTTTTGATGTTGTCCGCACTTGGTTTGGATCAAAACTAATAGATAGCTGATTATTTTGATCATGCAGGTAGCCAAATTGGGTCGTGGGAAAAAAAAAGAGATAGGAAAATCTGTATTTCAAGAACTAGGAAG